CAATAGCAACAACAAGTATATGACATCGCCTGGCCGAATGAGTTTACCGATGACCGACAGCAACGAGCTTAGCCACGATGACGATCTCAGCGTAGACGATTTCGAGATACCTGGCGTGGTGACACAACCACCGACTGATGCCAAGACTCTCGAACGTTTATCTGAGCGTAGCTACGTCAGAGACTGGTACCGATTGGGTCTCTATTCAAACGGACCACATAACAATCGTCGTAATGAACCCTTCCGATTGACTTCGGTGAACTGCGCCTACATGATTTGTCGAAGCTATCCTGCACTTCTGATTGTGCCAACTTCCGTGTCAGACGAAAGCATTCGACGATTCTGTAGACTTCATCGTCACAGTAGAATGCCAGTCATCACCTGGAGACATCCGCGAACAAAAGCATTGCTAATTAGAGGCGCGGGTTATCATGGGAAAGGCGTAATGGGCATGCTGAAAGCCCATCCGACCTCCGGCAGTAATCTAAAGACAACATCCTCAGAGACCACTTCCTCTCTGGAGCAGGAGAAATATATGATGGCACTTGTTGCTGTGACACCGCTTTCCGTACTGCGGCAAGGTTCCGCTTGGGGAATGTCGGATAGTTCTCTAAGTATAGACTCTCTATTACTAGCAGCAGAAGATCGTAACGCTACGCCTGAACAATCGCGCCGCAATCCATTCAACAAACCCCTAGGCACTCTCAGTTCATCGGGCGGCAAAGGTCCCAAGAATTTCGGTCGATGGGGTTCCCTGAAGGATAAACGACACAATTCTCAAGCTTCCTTAACTTCAGTTCATCACCAGCGCGGAACTGTCAGACATTCAGCGGATTCTGATAGTGGTACGGAATGTGTTCACACATTTCAACGCGCCGCTCTCTACATTCTAGGTGAAAAGGCGCATATGAAAGGTGTGAAAGCAGAATCTACCCCCAAGACGGATTTTATTCCGGTAGAATATTATGATGTGAGGCATACGAAAGCTGCATTTAAGAAGCTGATGCGAGCGTGCGTGCCTAGTTCGCCTAATGTAGAACCCGATCAGAGTTTCTACAGACTCATCGAGAGTTCGGAGTGGTTGCAGCAACTGCAGAGCCTGATGCAACTAGCAGGAGCAGTCATAGACTTAATGGATATGCAGGGCTCGTCAGTAGCTGTTTGTTTGGAAGATGGTTGGGACACAACAACCACCGTTTGCTCCATAGCGCAGGTGTGTCTCGATCCACATTATCGAACAATCGACGGCTTTAGAACCTTAATCGAAAAGGAGTGGCTCGGATTCGGGCACAGATTCGGTCACAGGAGCAATCTCGCTGCGAATTCGCAAACGACAAACTTCACGCCTACGTTTCTACAGTTTCTGGACATAGTGCATCAGATACAGAAACAATTTCCTCTGGCTTTTGAATTCAACGAATACTATTTAAAGTTCTTAGCTTATCATTCGGTGTCCTGCCGCTTTCGTACATTTCTGTTGGACTGCGAATTTGACAGAGTAGAATGCGGTATCACTGCCATCGAAGATAAAAGAGGTTCTTTAACGAGTCATCACAAGGGCGTGGATACTGGTAGCGATGATGATACGATTTATCCTGGCGGTAGACTAGCGGGAACAAACAAACAAACACTTGGCTGCAATCTCGGGCAGAGTATATTCGATTACATAGAGAAGCAACATGCGAGATGTCCGTTGTTTTATAATTTTATGTACACACCGAACACAGAGAATCCTATTCTGCGACCAGTGTCCCATCTACCGAGTCTGGACATCTGGCAGTTTTACTTGGAAGAAGAACTGGCACACGGTCCGGCATACGATCTGGAAGTGCTGCAACAGGACTCCCAGCAGGAGGAAGAGGCCGAGGCTGCGGATGGCGTGGTTAAGAGCAATCGTAAAGTAGTCACTCAGGGGTGATTATTACTTCAAATGTCACATTTAACGCTCTCAAAGAAATTATCAAGTTACAAATCACAATCTTTTTCATAGATATGACGGAGTCAACACAATGGTGCCCGATCAGTTTTCGCATCTTTTAGAAGAAATTCACAAATTGGAAACCGAATTGGGACATTTACCGCAAAAATGGAAAGTACTCTGGGATAAACTCGAATTACCCAACACCGATTCTCTTGCTGTAAGTCGCGACGGAATATTCGTACAAGAAATTCTTTATTCTTGCCAAAGTAGTTTTGCAAGTATCGCAAAAAAACAAAATATATATAATTATGTATACTATTATATAATCTTTATTAGACTTTGTTGAAGCATTATGAATAAAAGGTATATGAAAATTCATTTATCAATTATCAATAAATCCTGTTAAATAATTGTTAAAAAGCAGATTGATAATACATTTTACTATTATTATTTTATATCAACCTTTGCAATGATAAAAAAAAATATATATGAAATATTTATTGAATTTATAGCGGTGTATTAATAATACCTCGAGACTTTGTGTTACAGCTTGAATATCAAATTCAGTATTACTGTTGTAAAGCCTGCATTCGTGATTAATTTTCTTTGTTTCTAGCGGCACGCGTCATTCAGCACGGCACTTGTACGGTACCACGGTCGATTGATTCATAAACGCTCTACTTTAGAACTATTATTACGCGGCAAACTTGCTGGTGGAAGCACTACCGGAAACGAAGGTTCTGTGTATGCACATCCACACAGGTATCATTAATGTCGATTTACACAATTTGCTTAAATTAGTTAAACATATCATTAATGCAAACGTTTGCCAAAGGTTCGAACGATTAGATTCCGCTACACCGACTCATTGCGATGCGTGTTCTGGCGTGTTATGGGGTCCTGTGAAAGCTGGATTAAGATGCATCGATTGCGGTCACGTGTGTCATGACAAATGCGCGGATACTGTGCCAAAGAATTGCACAAAATATAAGGCTGTGACGGATAATCTCCAAACTCACACACTTACGAGAAGCGGTGGCGATAACGGAAGTGTAAACTCTAGTATGCGTTGATTTCATTAATCTGAACAGATATTAATTAAGCGTTTCTCACATAAATCTTCATAGCAGCAACTTTATAATTTTCAAACTTTCGCTATTTTATATGAGTTTTTTCTTGTAGGTGTAACAACTATACAAACTTCTTCCCAGCAATATTATGAACAATTCTCGAGTAATGTAGCGGAAAATAGAACGCACGAGGGCTACCTTTATAAACGGGGAGCTCTATTAAAGGGCTGGAAACAAAGATGGTTCGTACTAGATTCTATAAAGCATCAACTGAGATATTATGACGCAGTGGAAGACTCGCACTGTAAAGGATATATAGGTATAATAATTAAACTAAAAAAAAAATGAAGTATTGCTAAAAGTTTGAAAATAAGCAAGATATGTATTACAAAATCACATATTTGTATACAGATTTGGCTGAGGTAGTGTCTGTCACTCCAGCTGCGCCGATGCCCGGACCACCAAAGAAAACGGATGATAAATCCTTCTTTGATGTGAGTATATTTTACTTTAATAGAAAAACATACATAATTTCAATAAAATGTTTTATAAAAAATGTATTAACTTTTCAACATTAATAATTTCAAGTATTGAAACACAAATTGAGACACAAATTTCCATGATCTTTAACTTTTTTCAATTTTGTAAACTAATTCATTTTTATATGATATTGTTGAAATATAATTTTTTTGCCATATATTACAAACATGATAAAATCATTTTCTTTATAGCTTCGTACAAACAGACGAACATACAACTTCTGCGCTGCTGATGCAACGACGGCGCAAGAATGGATCGAAAAAGTTCAAGCGTGTTTACAATAATGTGGCACATCGCTTGATTATAGTACTAATTTCAAATTCTGGATGTGACTGACATAGACAAGAAAACACAGATTTTAATTTTGTTACATAATCTTGTATAGTCTAATTGTATGCGTCATAGACTACAGTAATCTTGCTTTAAGTATTTTAAAATGCAAACTCGTTGGACTGAAAAATAGTATCATAAATTAAATGTGATACATTCATATCCTCAATATAGGATTAGTATGTGAATATACTGTACATTTTTATGATTATGTCGTTATATTAAATTTGTTTATTCATTCAGCTGGAAGATGAAAGATCGTTACTTTATATGTCGCGCCTAAATTTTTTTTTATTTTGTTTAATATTTTCTAATATTAAATTATAATGGATTATACAAAACCGGATATATCTCATATATAATAAATTGTGTATGTCCACTGAAATATATACAGCTTGTCTCAAGATAGTTTCTGTAAGTTCTTTAAACAAATTGAGATCAATTTTTCCTTAATAAAACGCTGATTATAAATTATTAAAAATAAACGATTACTAATCGCAAACTATATGTTTATTTTTTGACACAAATAAACATACACTAATCTTTAAATAAATCTTTTTACAGAATTTAATTTTTGTTGCATTATCAAGATTAGTAATATTTAAAATGAGAGCAGCCAAATAAGTTTAATTTTTACTAAGATCAATATTTTTTAAATTAAAAGATTTTTTTATTTTTTCTCCTTTTTACAAAACAAATGAAAATTTGATTAACTTGGGACATTCTGTATGTGTATGTATACATACATATATACATACATATATACATACATATATACATATAAACATGTATATATATATATATATGTGTGTGTGTGTGTGTGTGTGTATAATTGTATCAAATGCTATTGTAATTAATATTATTACTTGATAGGTTGCGATTTTGTTTGTTTGTTAAAAGTGTTAAGTTCAAAGCTTATATGAGAAAAACAAAATTTCTAAATATGTTAAAAATATTTGATTAATATTCCTGCCATGCTAACAGTAAAATTAAATTAAGAATACATTTGGAGTATTTTTTATTATAGCTTGAAAAGTACTTTGTACTTGGGAAACAAAAACGATACTATTTATATTTATATTTATATACATTTATCAATATATAATATCTTCAAGATATTATTTCATATCATATACGTATTATTCGCTAAAATCCTCTTCATCACTGAAATAATTATTCTTTTTATAGCGTTTCTTTGGTACAGTCTCTTTTCTATCGTATCCATCTGTTTTTCTACATTCCATTTCTGTCCGTCTTTGCTGAAATATAAAATAACTTGAGTAAAAATTATAATTTTTAATCTATAAAAACTTTAACTTGTTCATTTTTCTCTCTTCAAATTTTAATTAAAAAATGGTGATTATACCTCAAGTGCAATAACGGCACTTAGCGTTTCTGGTTCTTCTTCTGTAATATTAACATCATCGAAATGATGTTTTTTTGTTGCTTCATCACTAGCACTGTCACTATCAAAATAACTTGTATTACAAGTTCTTTGGTATCCTAATTTTCTCTTTCGCATCCTAATTTTCTTTTTTGGTTCTACCCTAGGACCAAGTGCATTGTTGTTGCAGCGATATGACAAATGTCCTTCCTGTCCACATTCATAGCACCGCGATTTGTCGGGATAATCCCTACGACGTAGGAATTCAGTGCTGCGACCATTGTCAATTGCTATTGAACTTTTTACAGTGCGACCATATACCTAACGATCAAGAAAAAAAGGAAGAGGATGTTAATAATACATAAAAAATATGTATTAATTTTATTAAAAATTGTGGTCTCATCATGTCTTCTCTTTCTGAAATTAAGAAAAGGCATAGATTATGAATTAACTTCAATTCCTTACTAGAACATTCTATGTAAATTAAATGTTTCACATTGGAATTTTTTAATTTTTTATTTTAGGTTTGTTTAAATAGAAAATAGAAAAATTATTTAATTTATTATAAAGCTGATTATATATTCCTTTACAATGAGTTATGAAAATATACTGCCACAGAAAAAAATGAGCGATCAAATTATTATGCAAAGTGATATGATGGTTTAAACATCATCGATATGAAGTCAATCAATCAGAAAAATAAAGAAATTAAAATTTATTTACCTTTGTGTTATTGAGACGTTTCGCACAAGATACGGCTTCGTCTATCCTAAGAAATTGGACAAAAGCAACGCCGCGACTACGACGTGTTATTTTATCTTTCATTATCGTTACTCTGTGAATAAACGACGTAATATTAATATGGTATATGTGTAGACTTGACGCGATAAATTTAAATAAAAATAATTATAACTCACTTAACAATTTTGCCATAACTTTCCAGCAGCTGATGTATGTCATTGTTGGTGAATGAATACGGCAAATTTGACACATAAACTGTCGATTTGCTCGGGGCGATACGACCATTCATATTTTCGCAAATTTGTTTTACTTTATAAAGATTACAACAAAGCCACCATATTTGATTACGAATTTATTGACTCTTTTATGAATATTAAACTTACAAATATTTCTTCGAGAAGCATTCCACGGATATCCATATTAAAAAATAACTAGAAGCTTCGAATTCAGGTTAGGATGAGATAAAAGGTCTGCTTTTACAGTCTGAATTAGCGTTCCGACTGCGTTGCAAATCTTGCAATGGAACGCAGCCGCAGCCCCTAATATTGGATTGTTCAAAAAGTCATTTTTTCCAATAGATGGCGTTATCCACGTTTATTTGTATGCGAGCGTGACATGAATGTCAAATGTTTACGCGCGTTTTGTGCTGACATTCAACCTAAAAACCAAAAAAAAAGTTGACGCGATTCGGTTGAGTTTTGTGCTTGTAATTGTGGTTCGAACATGGAGAATTTTGAAGAGCATATTCGCCATATTCTGTTTTATTACTTCAAAAAAGGGAAGAAAGCAACTGAAGCAAGGGAAAAGTTGCGTCGAGTTTACGGCAGAAATGTCGTCAAAGAACGCCAGTGCCAGAATTGGTTCGCCCGATTCCGTGATGGTGATTTTTCAGTCAAAGATGCTCATCGCTCCGGCAGGCCTTCTAAAATTGACGACGATGAAATGAAAGCATTGGTGCAAGCAAATAAGCATTCAACGGTTCGGGAGCTTGCTATTGCTCTAAAAGTGTCCGTTGGAAGTGTTCATGGCCATTTGAAATCGCTGGGCTTCGTAAAGAAGCTCGATGTTTGGGTACCGCATGAGTTGAAAGAAATTCATCTGACGAATCGCATGAGCGTCTGCGATCAACTCATCAAACGCGAAGAAAACGATCCGTTCTTGAAGCGTATGATCACGGGTGACGAAAAATGGATTGTTTATAACAATGTCAGCCGAAAAAGAAGTTGGAGTAGGCAAGGTGAAGCACCGGAAAAGCAAGCAAAGGCAGAGATCCATCAAAAGAAAGTAATGCTGTCAATGTGGTGGGATTGGAAGGGACCAGTCTTCTATGAGCTACTTCCAAAGAACAAAACGATTAATTCCGATATCTACTGTGAGCAGTTGCAGAAATTAAGTGATGCCATCGCACAGAAACGTCCCGAGCTAATCAATCGTAAAGGTGTGGTGTTTCACCATGCCAATGCGAGACCACACACAAGTTTGGTCACTCGGCAAAAATTGTTGCAACATGGTTGGGATGTGTTACCACATCCACCGTATAGTCCAGACCTTGCACCATCAGACTTCCATCTCTTTCGCTCCTTACAAAACTCCTTGAATGGTAAAACGTTTGCTTCTGAAGACCTCATCAAACAGCACCTAGACAAGTTTCTCGCAGAGAAGGATGGGAAGTTTTATGAACGTGGTATTATGAAGTTGCCCGGAAGATGGCAGAAGGTCATCGAACAAAACGGCCAATATATCATTGATTAATGTTCATTACGTATATTAAATAAACACATCTGAAATGAAAAAAACGCAATGACTTTTTGAACAACCCAATATATACCTATACATTCTTTGTACTTAAAGGGAAATAAGTATATTTGAAATTTTAATTCAGCGATAAAAAATAAACATTTTAGGGTGCATTTCGTTTTCACGTAAAATACACATAATACATAATTTATCTTAGTAGTAGTGCATCATGCGTATATATTATGCATGAAACAAAATGCACTAAAAAATATTGCGAACTTGGACAAAACGTCGATTTCATACTTGCGATATGAGTATTTAAGTATAATATATATTGCATTTATTTATTTATACTTTTCCATATAATTGTGCACAATTCAAAACATAAAACATTATGCATTTATAATCTAAGAATTTTATTTTCATTATAGCTTTCGCCTCTTAATTGTAAAAATCACTATTTATTATCGATTGCGGTATAAAAGATTACAGGCGGTATTTGGAAGGAACATTATTTTTTCGTTCTCAAGATTTCTTTTAAACGTGATATATTTTCATTCTGCAGAATAGTATTTAAAAAACTACGTAATTGGTCACCAATATATTTTTAACATATCTAATGCGCGTATTCTCATGAGATAAATTTATAAATTAAGGCCATTTCGACCCACTCCGATTAACTTAATTATTGTATTAGTACGAAAAAAATTATCAAATTAATTAATAGAACTATACCTTTAAGCCTATTCTATAATGTGTGTTCTTTGTTTCTTGTTTTTTACCTTTTGTAACTTTTTTTTCTTTTGCATTTTATCAACAATTGTATTTTGTTACGTATTTCTTGTTTCTTTCGAAGTTTATTAACTTTTATCTTGAGCAATATAAAACAAAAAACCGAATAAGAAGCAAAAAGACAATATATAAAAAATAACAAAAGGTAAGAAACACGAAACAAAAAGCAGAAGAACAGGCTTTAATATATACTGAAAAAACATTAAGAATGAACTATATATTAGAGATATGATTTTGCCGATCGAGTTAATTATCGATTAAAGTTAATCGCGGAATTGGTCGAAATGGCTCCTAATTTAGATTATATTAATAAGCTACATATACATATATGAACATATTTATATTTAAAAAAAAATCGCAAGTTTAAAGATTACAGATTCTTATCTCAGGCTCTTAGAAGTGCTACCGTTGTATAATAATCTCATAATCGAGATTTTACACTTTTTCGCGTTGTAAAATATATATATTTCAATATATATTAAAACAAAATAATCTATGTGTCGGTGCAACGATAGAATTCACGTATTACAAGCTCATACAATAATCTTCAATAATACCACTCCTGCCTGTCGCTAAATGTAATTTGATTATTTTGTGGGCTTACTGCTAAATATATGTGTGGTAAAATCGGTATGGCTGTATTGCGCCTGTTGCATAACTGTTCATTATCAACAAACATTACATTATTATATAGATAAATGATGCCTTTCAGCAAGAGACACTCTGTAAGCATTTCAGTTTTATTTAAGTTGACAAATGACAAGGATATAATCATCATTTACTGTTACATTGTCATCCGTATCTCTGTTGAAAAGCATCTAAAGTAAAATATAAAATCAAAATCTCCATTAAAGCGTCGCTTTAAAATTAAACAATTATGATTAAAGTTAATAACATATTACACAAGCAAATAAAAAAATCCAATACTACAGTATTCATGATTCTGTTAATCCCGCGCTATCTTCATCCCACTCGGTAGTAAAACTTTGTATTTTTTTATGTTGTTTATCAGTAGTCTCTTCCATGTCTTCTTCGCCCTCGACATGTTCCTCCTCGATAATCATGACAGATTCTTGTTGCTCATCCATACTATTGCTCTGTTCGCTACATTGTTCTTCGTCGTATTCTACTATCTCTGTCTGCTCTTCAACATATTGTATTACTTCTTCCACTTGATTATCAGCACAATCCTCCAACATGTGTTGAGGCATCTCCTCTTCTTCCTGTACCTCCTCTTCCTCCATTACTACCTCTTCGACTTCCTCGACAACCTCCTCTACTATTTCTTCTGTCTCCTGTGTGACTTCGGCGGCTTGATAACTTTCATAGGATCGAGAATCGGCCTCATCAGCACCATGAATGTATACAATCATACCATCATCTGTGCCTTGCATTACTATTTGTTCATTATCGGCAATATCTAACTGTTGCGGTTGCTGATGATGATTGTTCTCATCATGCTGATAGTTTTCGTCATTATTAACTAACATAATCATGTGCTGGCCATCTATTTCATGTGTACTGTAACTGATGTTATGTTCCATATCATCCAACACATCTGGTACAATGTACTGATTACCATTAGTTTTTACAATCTCTATGGTTTCTTCTTCTTCCTGTGTTTCTGCAGCAGTCTCTGTCTCCGTATCTCCGACACCGAGAGAAGCAGCTATACCACTGGCGACGTGGCTGAGAGCTTCCGCTTCAGATGATGGTTCTAATGGAGGTGCGGACGGAGGAGACTCGATGGAGTCTCTCTGCAATTCTTTATGCGCACAATCCAGATGTACTTGCAAGTTTGTCAAACGCACAAACACTTTAATACAGTATGGACAACGATGACCCTTCTCTTTACCATCTGTTATACCTCCATGTCCACTGTTCAATTCATGAGTAGTAAGTTCAGTGATACTTTTGAATGACTGATTGCATTGACTGCATTGAATATCCTCTGAAGGTAAAGCGTGATGTCGGGTCGCAGCAGGCCGATGATTATGGTTTATCTGATGACGCACCAGCAGAGTTTCTGACAAGGCAATGTATGAACAGGCATGACATTTCGGAAAGCTCATGCTCTTCGGTGGTGGTACGTTGTGCTTGGTATAAAGATGATACATCAGAATGTTGCGCTTTGTTGCCTTATAACCGCAATGCTCGCAAACCCTCGGATCAAATTTCTCCTCGTGCACATCTTGCATGTGTCTTCTGTACATATAATAATTAGTATATTCTTCATCCAAATCGCATTTGTTACATTTCCAGGGACCTGTCTCGGCATCGAGACTGCCGTTACACTTGGAATCATTATTTTCATCATTATTAGTGGCCAATAGATGATCGGATTTTAAAACCACATAAGATATTTTTGTTTTGCACGCAGTATTACTTTCGGAGGATTTTGTTTCTTTCTGCATGATTTTCAAGCGAATATTTTTATTATTCTTTACTAAATGGGGATATTTTTTTAATACTTCTCTGATAATCTTTGCGTGATTATTGATAGAATCATCGGCATTCGGATGATTCGATTTAGGCTTTTCTACATTTTCCTTTTCCTCTAAATCAAAACGCACTCGTTTAGATGGGCCTTCTTCAGATCTCTCATAATTCTTCGATATATTCCAATCATCATCTGAATTTGTGTCTCTCAAGTTCTTTTCGCTTTCTTGATTATCTTCATCCTCATCTTCAGTTGAATCGTTTTTACTATCTCTGTCAGGCGAACCTTTAAGAGAGTTGTCTTTTTTATATGCATTGCATGCTTGAACAATAGGTTTTGTATTATATGTAATATCATCGAATGAAGAAAATACTCCCAAAGTAATATCATCTGCTTCTGGAAGATCAAATCTGGATGGGCCAGGAGTTGCCTCTTTATGTGTTGAAGATGTACTGTGGAATGTTCGTACTTCATAATTCGCTGGTGCAGGTGGAGATTCATCCAGTTTTCTTTTCCATATGGGAAGCCTTTAAAAATAAAGATTATTGACATTTTATCACAAAATTAAGTAATGTTTGTAATATTACTTATGGAATACATACTTTCTACCTGGCAATATTTGCCCAGATATGTTTGATGCCGAACTGGTAGAGCTGGTAATTGTTTTTGCAATTGGAGTTGAAGGTTTTGTGACAGCTATAACTGGACGCGAAGGTGTTTTTGCTACATCATCTTGCATTTTGCTTGTGTTAAATTGAGCGTCGAGCAACTTTGTTAGGACTGTCATATTCATCTTTTGCGCTGTACGATACAAAGCATGTTGCTCTGATGTCCAATATTCCAATTGTCCAGTATACATAAAACTGTATATGAATATGTAATTAATTAATTAAATAAATGACAAAAATGTTATGGTGAATATTAAAACATAAATAAGAATATCTGTGTGTAAAAGTAATTAATTTGTAGATAGTGGGTCTGGAGTTTGAACTTGATTCCTGTTTCATTTATATCTCGACTTTATGAGAAATTGGAATATTAAAGGTTGTAAGTGAAAAGGGACGAGATGAATTGTGATCTAGGAATTGTAATTTCAGAAATCGATATTTAATATATCAAAACAATAAATATTAAAACATACCTTATAATAGATTTAACACATTCATAAGGCATATCTGAAGGCATAATAATTACACCATTAAAATTTTCATCTTTTTCTTTCTGCTGTTCTTCAAGTTGCATAAAATAGTCTGTACATGTTGTTACTACAAGTCGATGGGCCTGAAGAAATTTGAATTAATAATACTATTGATAATATTAAAAAAAATATATATCCCAAATTGTTTTTTTATATCATTATTTTATACCAATAATATAAGCGTTAGATTATTTATACCTGTACAGTAATATTACTTGTAGGAAATTTAATTTTAAGATCAAGAAATTGTTCCTCCAAGTAAAGAGTCTGAAGTCGTTGAAGAAAAAATGATCCCCAATTATCCACTTTTACTTGTTTTAAGCCTCGTGCAGGCAATGGCTTCTCTTGAATTACTCCTGGCTCCATTTTTTAGAGTATATTTGATAAAAGTATAAATACCTAATTGAAAATATAATATATATAAATTATATTACAAACAAAAAGTTAAATGTATTTAAAATGTTCAATGAATCATTCTATTTTCTGGATCTTTTCCAGAAGATAAAATGCCACATGAACTCTAAATTAGAAAAAGTAAGTTTTAATAAAAAAATATTTAATTTTAAAAAT